AGTGATGAAGCGGGGAATTGGAGCTGAAGCGCCAGAGCGCCCAATCTCTGCAGCCACGTGACCTCTAGTGCCATGCTGGCCCTTGAGTGGGTCTCGTCCCCAAGCCAAGACATGGGATGGGAAAGTGGTCGCGACGAAGCCGCAGACGGACGCTACCAACACCTGGAAATATGTTCTCGCTCGGAACCTGGTGCGTGATAGATATGTCGCGTCTACTGTTAACAGAAGCATGCTCCCACAATTTGGCAGGATAGGGAATGGCAACTGACCCCACATGTTGGGGCATCATTCATCATACGGCAACCCTACTCTGGACGTAATAACATTCAGCCCAACTTCCTGTTCTGACCTTGCCCTGCGTTCCGCTCCAGAGATCGTCGACCCGAAACACTTCCACACTACAGACATCGTAGTCTTCGCGACGGACAATCGTGCATGATGAGTTCTTTCCGCGACAAATTATTAGCCACGACCGACCGGTTCATCCGTGTCATGAGCGGCGGTACCGTCGACGAGGTCGTGTCGGTTCGAAGCGCCAACTGTGTCCAGCGTACCTTGCCATCGTCGCTTAAAGCACCGTCCATGAACAACAAAGAGTTTGCGGCTTTTCACTCGTCCGTATCAGGCGACCTCTCCGATTTTCAAGTCTGGCTCGCACCCGGTACAGAGCCGATTGTCGACGAGACGTCCAGACGAGTGGCTCTACACCTCCATTCCCGCGCCAATGGGAAGAATGGAATTTACAGCAACGAATATATATTCCTGCTTCTCATGTCCGAGGACGGATCGCTTCTGGAGGAGGTCGTTGAGTTCACAGACAGTGCGTACGTCCAGAGCTACTTCCAACCGCAAGAATAAGTAGTGCTTGAAGCATGGCACGGAGAGCTTATTTGAATCACACACAAGGGGCTGAAAGAGTCACTGATCGTAAGATCTGTTTTTCGGCAGCATCTCTAGAGCGGTGTGCTCCGGGACAGTGTATATCCTCACGCCTCCATTAATTCATCGTCGTCTCTGGAAGGCGATGATCTCGAGAGAATACATGTGTTGGCTAGCTGGCAATTTAAATTCATTAATTGGTGTTGACTTTCTCGGACAACATGCTTGTTTATATAGCCGGACCTGAACAAGACGTAACCTGGCCGTGAAGAGAGGATCTCTTCAAACATCAGCATCAGAGGCCCTCTGGACAAAATTCTCTCTCTATCGATGTAGTGAAATATGTGAGCAAAGTCGGAGCTTTGTGGGTTAGGATGTTGAGTGCATTGCTTAATGGTAACGCGATATATCGACCTGGCCAGGGTTTTCTTCTAGCCCGGTGCGAGAACAGAGCTACGCGCAGAAGAGGGAGAGCGTGGCCAGTGAGTGTCCAGTCCGTGTCGGCTTGATGGTGGCAAAGAATTCCGCTATCTGAGGATATGTATTCTTAATGAGAGAAATCAGATAAACTAGATATCAACCATTCATCTAGAACACTGTGATTCATTTGCATTCGCCTTATGAAACCTCAATTACCGCAAATAGAGAACTCATAGAGACCTTAGCGGGCTGCTGGACAGGGAGCTTATGCCTAACCAAAAGCCACGTCGAGTTTGCGTTGAGAGCTGCACCACTAGGGTGATAATGCCGTCCGGTGAACAGAGATTTAATTTGTTGATTCCGAAATCGGTGTTGACCTGGGTTACATACGCATGCAAGGCTGGCATTCCTGTCCAGTACAAACCATGGGCAATCTTTTGCATTGAACTAGACTTCCCTAACGTGATATCCATGAAACTTCGCAGAAATCTCAGGAGAGTCAGAGGAGCACGAAAAAGGCGCAGATCTGGGGAAGCCTATTTCCTCTGCAACATCAAGGTAGGTTACATGATCAAATTCAGGGGAGAAATGTCTGTTTTGCTGGCGGACTCGTCCAACGTTCAAAGAAGATGTGGCGTTTAGCCAGTGGCTATGGATTGGACGATGATGTCGTCTTGGTGACTCTTAAGATCAACCGAGGCCAAGCATAGTCTGACAAAGAGGTCTTGCCGCAGAGTGCCATATGTCGTTAGCCCAGCTACAATTTGCCGCGAGTTGAACGGGAAGATTCTGAAACCTCGCGAAACTGTCTGTATTTCTTCGGCCAGATCCCTTGTTTCCCAGGAGAGAGTATGCCATCTGGGTCGACAGCATCCTGCATCAGAACTGTCAGCATGACGATCTTGCCGATAACGACCCATAGTGACATAAATATGACTAACCTTGATCTTTTCGACAAACCTGTTGTATGCGTGATTGTTGAACTCGTTGAGATCTGCGATCTCATCTGAAATCTCATGTGAGCGAATCTCAAGGCGGTCTGCGTGGCATCTACTTACCCATGTGATTGACATGACCACGGTACATGCCGTATCCCTTGTCTTTTGCGACTTTATGCATCTCATTGTAGGCCTTTTCCACGTTCTTGCACTGCTCGGAACTCAATTGGTCGTATGCATACATGCTTGTGCAAACTGAATGACGTTCGTGCATGAAAAAATCCACCATGAAGTCGAGATCAGCGGCGGCATAAATATCTTGACAAGCACGTACCCATCCCTGGATATGTTTGCCTGTAGAAGGGAGAACAGGGGCGTAATCACCGTGAGCTGCTTTCCCCGATTCTCCGAGAGGCCAGTCCATGAGAGGGAGGCTGAATAAGGACGGAACTCCCGCCAGCATAAGGCCATGCTCCGGGGGGATAGACTTCGCGTCTAGAGGCTTTCCATTTTCTTCCGTGTACAGGAAGCCTTCCATGGTGCCTGTGGGTGCTTTTCTAGAGAGCTGTTCTTTAATTTCGGCTAACTGTGCACGGAGAACCCGCTCCGGACCATAAAGACCCCAGCGGGCGACCCAAGAGCCCACTTTGAGTTCCCTCTGCAGCTCCTTCAGGCGCCATTTCGGGATGGCACCTTCGCCTTTCCAGAACGTATTCCGCTTACCGCGAATACATAGTATCTCTCCGAAGTTTTGAACCCAAATCATGTTTGGAATCAGGGAGGTTCGTCGCATCTCTGCCAGTGCATCCACCAACGCCTCTATGTCATCGTCCTCAGGCACACTGAATGAACATGACATAAAGGCAGGTGGTCGGGGTGCAACCCACATGCTGAGCTTGGTAACCACACCAAGGTTGCTTTGCAGAAATAAACCTTCGACGGATGGACCGTATGAGAACTTGGATACGAACGCCGTTGGCGAATTTGTGATACCCCACTGCCCTGTACGCACCAGGTCACCATCTCCAAGCATGACTTCGAGACCAGCTGTATATTGGTGGTGATTCGCATAGGCTCCATAGCCAACGCCCCGGTCTAAGGTCTACCAGAAGAATTAGCCCCACTCCGCCAGAATCATGGGGGGGATACTTATTCACATTGCCGATGATACTTCCCCAGCCGAGAGATGGAATGCTTGGCCAGACTTTTTTCCCGTGTTCGATACAATAGTTGTAGAGGTCCTGAAAGGTGACACCTGGTTCTACCACAGCATAACCCTGCTCGTCGTTCACCTCAAGGACACGATTCATGCGATGTAGATCAAGAGCGACAGAGCCGTTCAAGCGAGGTGCTGGACCTCCGTAACTTGCCAGGTCCAATTTCGTTAGTACATAATACAGGCAGGCTGTGTTGTAGAGTTAGCACCTACCCGAGGTTCTTTCCCCTTGAGAATGTCCACAATGGGATGTTGAACTTCTTGGCCACTTGAAGCACTTGACTGAGCTCTCCGGTCGATTCAGGGCTATGAGAATCATTATTACATTAGTATCGACAGAACGTATCAGGTTCATCACGGCATGCATACTTACCAGACAGCAGCGCTCGGCATCTTGCGCTTCGACTCGTCATTTTCATAAAGCTCGTACGGATCGATATAGTGCGCCAGTGCGTCCCCGATGAATACTTGGGTCTGACCGACTATGGCGACGAGATCATGCAACGCTGTCTCGAAGTCGGCTCGGGTAACATTCGGCGGTAGCACCGGTTTGATCGGCGCAATTTTGGGCGGGGCGAACGTTTTTTGGTGCGCGCGGTCATATTCAGGGTCTGCATAGGTATTCACGGGTAATTTGGACGTCATGACGGGCTATCCTTCGTAGGCGACCTTTGTTTGGCTGGGAGATCCAGTGTCGCTGTCGGAGTCCTATTTATCATGCTGTGGTCATGGAAATCAACGACGACAGTCAGTAGGTAACCCCCCAATTACCCGTTCCAGCTGGCCAATACCCATCCACTATCACCTACTCGTTGGAGAAGACTTACACCCCATGGGAGCTCAGCTCCACATGTCGCCGAGATATTATTATAGTATTACCGCGAAGGGCTATACCACTTAGGGCCTTCCTTTGGGGAAAAGCGCTTAAGATCGAATGGGAAGGGTTGACCGAGGGATTAATATGGTTAGCCTGGCTACGGATGGAGATTAGAGCAGGGACCTAGCTGAAAAGAAACCCGTGACTACGAATATTCATATGTTGTGTTATCCCAGCCTTGATCCGTCTGCCCATGGTCATCTGGAGTTACCCCTCAATTATGCGTGCCGCTGCTAAGATTGGAAAGCAGTACTTCTTCGATCTGAGCGTTTCCTAGATTATCGCCAGCCGTATCCGAGTAAGAAGGGACACAATGCATTCGGTTAGGGAAGGAGGCAGTACGATGGTAACACAAATGTTGTGATTAAAACCTTAAATAATACGAGAAACTGAGTAGACGAAGGCACCGCGGCCGCGTTACTAGGGACGGGCTGGCCCAGTTCGTAACAACGAGGGTTTGGTGGAATTGCTGTCTCTGCAAAGAAGCTATGAACCTCGTGACCAGGAACTGCGGAGTTTGAAGCAAAACACTCCATATCCCGCAAGACAATCATCTTTTATTTTCCAACAGCTGCGACTGCCGTCATGTCCGAAGCTATCCCAGAGCATCGGTGTCGGGGCCATACATTACACCATCACACCCATTGACACGATCGACCTGTTCGGTGTCCTAGAACTTGGACTCTATGCCGGTAAAGGCAAAGTTCTTGTATGCTGGGAACCTCTCCTCTGGATCCCATTGCGCTCGAACCTTCAGCCATTTCTGAAGGTTTGCCTCGCTCATCACCTGGACAAAAGAAGTCTTGATTAGCAGTGTTCGCGTAACGTGGAACTCCGTAGGCTTGCCTACCTTTTCTTTCCGATGAGTTACGTCGTAGTCTGCAATATATTGGCCAACGCCAACAGCAGAGGCTTTGGAGTATTGATCATACATCCACTCCCTCATGCGTGTGTCGTCCGTTGGATCGGTCCAGCAAGTCATCGTCGACATGTAGTACTGCTGCGGTAGGCTTCCGGCCATATCGGCAGCATCGGGATAGCACTCGGCGATGTATATACAACCCAATGACCGCCGTGACGGCAAGTCGCACATGGGCCCCTCCATGGTCCGAACCAGCTAGAAATGAACAAGTCACAAATGAACAAGTCAGTTAACGCGCTCAATAGATTGGGAGGTAATGGGAGTCGTTTACCTCTTCTCGAGAGACCTTCGGGTTGCTGAGGATGCTATCACATTGCCAGCGCTCGCCCTGGCCGCAAGGGTTCAGAGCATCTTGGTCATCAAAGAGTCGTTTCCAGGTCTTATGCTGGAGATCTGTTTTTACTACGAGTAATTTCTTCAGATCCTCCGGAATCTTGTTATACTCGCTGAGCATAGTTCTTGCTTCTCCTTCCGAATCAGCGTACGCTATCACCTCGATGGCCATAAGCAGTGTTTTGTCGGTGATTTCGTCGCCAAGAGGGAGCGAATTCTTGTTGGCATAGACAGTTGCGGCGGCTGTCTCAACGCCATATCTCGGGGTGCGGTCGTTGGTGTCCAGCATCCACGTGCAGATCTTTCTCCACTTGTTAGAAGCGTTGAAGATCAATGTCGTAGTGTACAAATGACGGGCGGGCATCGTTTGGGCCCAAAATCTAGTTACAATGCCAAAGAACCCTTGGCCACTTCCTCGTGCAGCCCAGAAGAGATCCGTGTTTTTTTCTCGGCTAGCAATAACGACCTGCCCTTCCGCCGTGACAATTTCCATCCCGAGGATCCAAGAGTCAGAAGTCAGGCCCCAGCCTCGACAAAACCATCCTTGTCCCCCACAAAGCAAGAAGCCGCCGGCGGCGACGGTCGGCGAGTGTCCAAAGGGGAAGAACCGATTTAACTCAGTGCACGCCTCCGCGAGCTCCTTGGAGATACGGCCGGGACCAAAAGAGATGATTTTCGTATTTGTATCATAATCGATCGAGGAGTTCAGATGCTTGACATCGATAAGCAGACCGCCTTCCAGAAGGGAGCAGCATGGGAACAAGTGGCCACCTGCGCGGACACCGATGGGTTGCCCGAGAGCAGCCGCCTGTTTCACTGCTTTGATGACATCTGCAGTCGTTGACGGACAGGATATTGCAGCTGGCATAGCTGCCGGTACGCGAGCGTTGAAATACCTCGTTCGAAGTTCCTCATATTGGCTATGATCACGGCCAATGTGCTCGTCGCTCAAAGAAGTTGGTGACATTTTGTTGATTGTATCGCTGAATGTGCAGAGTCACTGACTTGCGCGCACCATTTGCGTTCTCCTTTGTATCAGCTCTTCCGCGAATCGCCATGTTGGTTGATATGGGATGGGCAATCTACGTCCTAGCTCGTGGGGAGGAGGCCTCCGGAGCGTTTGCACGAACCCCACAAAGGGTAAGTTCCAGTTGGGATTAGAAGCTGTTCCACCAATACTGACCCCACATGTGTCTTTTGGGTGACCACCAGTTCACCAGCTTGTTTGAGAGGGGTGTGCAGGTTGTTCCGACCAGCACGCTCTGGGATTGAAGCCAACACTGCCAATTAATAACGCAGCATTTACCACCCCCAGATTTTCCATTCCGCACTTTGGCGTCATGTCTAACCCCGAGAACAAAACCGATACTGTCCCGCTGTATCCTGAGAAATGTTAAGGTATCCCTGTGCAATTGCTGCCCAAAGCTCTCAAGGAGAAATTTCGACTACTGTCCAACTTAACCAAGAATGAAATAACTCAACGGAAAATAGATGTAGCGATACCGCCAGGTGTCATCAAAGAAACCTTTAATCAGGCTCTTGAAAAGCTGGCAAAGAAAATAGGCGAGCAAAATGTTGAATTGAACGACAAACCCCTCCAAGATGGCTGATAAGTGGATACGAGGGACAGGATATGAAGTGCGAGTTGCTGATCTGCGGTCTATCCAGGCACATGAAACGTATGTTGGCCCTCAAACAAAGCTGGAGGCATGAACTAAGAGTTACAAAAGATTGAACTAGATCCTAACACGCATGATGCCTTCATGACTCTGGACCATGAGGAATTGGTTTCCTCAGCGGTTGTTTATCTCGGCTCTGTGGAGGAAGTCCAGGCTATCGTTGAATGAGCAAATCGCAGCCAAATCTGTAGGAGGCTTCAAATATCACACCCAATCGTGATTTTCAGAGAATGAATCCCTTTTGGTATGCCCCGCGTCGGCGGACTCACAATTCCGTACCACGAAAGGAAGCGAGAGGGGCGCCAAGGAGGTTTAATTGCACTACAATCACAAGAGACCACTGTTAAAGATGCCTAAGAGTCAAGGGTCAGTTCCACGTGAGCATCACAAAGGACTTCACAGCCCAACGAAGGGGGTGAGCGGTTCTAGATGGAGGCCATCTCGGTCGAGGGGAGGAAGCAGTCTAGCCAAAAGAGCATCCTTACATTTGCACTAGTCCCAAAGCACCATCGTTGGGTGGGGAAATTGTCGACAACGAGTGCCTGACTAAGCAATCACGTGAATGTTCCCTTTTTTCCAATCAGGCAAATATAAGATTCACCGTTATTGACCTTGCCTCGGAATTTAGATTACAGTGGCGAGCAAAAATCCAAAAAATTGGCAGTTTTGCCGAGGGCATATCGTTGCAATGGCGAGTAGTTCCGCCTACAGCGTAAAAAGCGGTGTATAAAGAACAGGTCGCCATGTAATAAGTACAGCGTCCTGTAATTCATCTATAGGCTTGATAGATAGCTCGTTACTGTATCTCCACGTAAATAGCCTTTTATAACGCGGTAGTAATGCCTTCAGGCGGTTCACACCTTCGAAAGGCCCAGGTTATCAGGACTACTATAAGCGCCTAATTAGCCCTTGGAATGCGCCTAATCGACGTCTCGCGAGTGAACAACGTCTCTCCTTCCTTCGTTACTCAACAGCGGCACCGAGACGAGGAGAAATCGCTTAGTTTAGAGCCAGGAGGCGTAGTACGAGGCCGTCCTAGGGCAATCCATTCCGCCGCCATGACTACTATCGACTAATTCATTTAGGATTTCCTAACGGCGCAGAGGGACGAGGTCTACGATCTCCTTAAGGAAGAGTTTAATATAGAGGTCCATCCTACGACCGTAGGTAGGATCCTAAAAAGGCTGGGCCTTATACGTAAGAGGGTAAATAAGATTAATATTCGGCGTGATGAATCGCTAGTTACAGCGTTCCTAGCTAATATAACCTAGTACTTAGTTAAATAACTCGTCTACCTTAACGAGAGTACCGTAAACGAGAGGACTAGCGATCGTAAATATAGCTGGTTACTACGAGGAGTACCCTATTGAGTAAGGACTTCTAATAGGCGGAGTATTCGCTGGAGTATCCTCCTAGCGCTTACGATCGATAGGTAGCTCGATTATAAGATCTTTTAGGGTTCCTTTAACGGAGAGAGATTCCTAGCCTTCGTCGAGAGGCTGTTAGGATAGATAAACGCGTTTCCAGCATCTCGATCGGTATTAATATTAGATAATGTATCGATCTACTACGGCGAACGGATATAGGCTCTTTACCAGTAATATAGCGTAGTTCTCGCCTACCTACCTCCCTATTCGCCGTATCTAAACCCGATTAAGATAGCCTTTCATAAATTAAAGGAGTGGATAAGGAAGAATCGCGAGATTAGATATAAATATAAAGAGTAATTCGAGGTCTTCCTCTACCTAGTAATGTAGGTAGTCTATCCTACGAGGATAGCGAGGAACTACTTTAGAACCTGTAGCTATAGACTACCTACTAGGACTAGGTAGGAGGAACGCGAAGATTAAGAGGAACTAGTCCTATTAGTAGGAATCGAGGGTTAGGCGTAAGTATAACTATCGCAGATGACGAGGTTAATTAGTGTACAAACTTAGTGTTACTAGGCTAGGTCGTTTCCTGTAGAAACCTCGTTTACAGTAAAATTAGGTGAGTAAAAGCTTACCTAGGAAACAGCTTAGACCTCGCGCTACAGCCTACTACTTAATCGATCGCTCTAAATACACTATTTCCTGCCTTTTAGCGACGTTATAATAACTTTACTTAGCGCCGTTCCGAGGCCGTTACTTTATAGGTAATCCTATAATCGCCGGCGGTACTACCTATTACGCTAGTAACGCGGTATCCTATTCGAATAATAACAATAATAGAGGTCTTAAGGCTTAAGGCTAAGGTCGCTAGTAGCTACTATAGAAGGCTCTTCTAGCTATAATTCCTCGTTTACGAAGATCTTAAGGTTCTTCTTAATCTTCACGACGAATCTACTACGGATTTCCATACGTTCCCAGCCTAAATCTATAATTATTCGAAGGTCTAAGAAACCCTAGCCCTCGCCCTATAGAATGCCCTTAATCTCGCCGAATTCGGCCGTATAGTTAGGATAGCGCCTACCGAGCTAGTTAAGGTAGATAGCTACGTTATTATCGTTATCGCTAGGCCGGAAAGGTAGGCTAGATTACTCTTCGCGCTCGGATCTCGCTATAGCGGCCGCGGTACCTTCGCTACCCTAGAAAAACTAGATGTAAACGCCGCTACTACTAGTAGCGATTTACGCGCTATTCGAGGCCGCCTTACCGGCCTTCTTATTTATATAGTTAGCCTTATCTTTTATAAGTCTTAGAAGTAACGATCCTAGTATCTCTTCAGCTATTACGGTGCGATTTCGGATCGATTTAAACTATAAGTTAATCGATGGGGTGTCTAGGCGGAGGTGGCCCTCTTCTATAGGTAGGTAGGTTCTACCGTAATTAGGATATCGATCGCTCGGGTATATCTACTTAGCGGCTAACTCGTATACCTAGATATCGCCGGTAGCGACGTTCAGTAGTTCCTCCGCCGCGATCGATTAGCGCTAACGCTGAGTAGCGCTTAGTCTCGTTCGCTCCTTATTACGCCGACGCCTAGCCTATATTAAGTCCTGTAGCCGTAGTAGCGTAACTAGTCTAGCCTCGAACTTAATAGTTAGAGTAATCTAGATAGTATACTTCTATCGCCGCGGTTCCTATAAGGTCTTCCACCATTACCTCGCGAACTTCTCGAAATCTCTATCGTCTTTACAGGTGAATTAGAATAGCCTCTTATTCGAAATCATGAGGACTAGTTTACTACTAAGGATAGGAGGTATTAGATGAAATTAGTCAGGTGGAAACTTCGCTTCTAGGCGTCGTTAGTAGGCGTAAGTAAGAAGGTTAATATTAAATAGCTCTGTTCCATCGTCCTCTGTAGAGAGTTCTAAGGACCTTCCTACTATTATAGAGGTGGCGATTTTGAATGTAACTTTACTCATTTCGAAGGGTTCCATCGCTGGAGAGTCTATTTATCTTATTCCTAAGGTCCTTTTATAGCGTTTATATTGTTCTATAGCCTCTAGTTGATGAGAGGGCGGAGGAATAGATCTATCTATACTACTACTCCGAGGCCGCTTCGCCTAGCCACTAGCGCCGATTATCGAGTCATTCTAGCCATCTAGATCGTCCGATAGGTCTAAACTATCGTCTTTATTAAGGATTTAAGACGTAAATAGCCATTACGAGTTCTACGAAGTGTAGAATCGCTGTACAGCGCTTTCCTTAAGCGCCGCGCGAGCGATCGATCTCGCCTCGTCAGGTGTAAGTCTACCGAATGTAGGTATAGATTCGCGCGCCGCCGCGGCCCTCGTAGCGCTAGGAACAGGCGATCGCGCCTAGGTTGAGTCGCGCGAGTTGTTGAACGTCAGCCTGATGCGCTGACTAGGTCTCTTAGGGTTTTCTATCGTGCTAGGACTAACGGAAATGACAGTTATAGACCTAGGTAGTACTGGAGTGGCCTCTACCAGCTCCCGAGAGGTCGGAGATAGTAGCCTTAAGGGCGTTAGCGTTACTATAGGCCGATTTACTCTCGTTGGCGCGGCTGAGGCGCGTACTTCCAGGAGGCGGCGAGAAGGAGTCGGTTCACGGCGAGGTCGCGTAGACATACTAACATACTCTTATGTACTATAGGATAGCTATTTACTATGTAAATTATGCTGTTCTAAAGTGCGCAGACCTACACCGCTATATGCGCATATGGCGGTGTAACTCTTGTTGTGCCCTCGGCAAAACTGCCAATTTTTTGGATTTTTGCTCGCCACTGTATCCGGCAAGTTAAGTTTTGGTCGAGAGTTTCCTGAACTCCTACCTAACTCGCAATGTGACATGGTATAGACCCATATCTATACAGATATTCGCTCATGGGCGATGTTCGACCACTGAATGTGCCTATCTCAGCTAAAGTCCACACAGTTTTACCCAAACGCCTCGGTCATTATCGGAGAAAATAGGTCCGCCAAGCCGAGTTTGAAAGCAACAGGATGATAAGCCCTGATAAAGCCGAAGTATAAGGATTGGTCAATGTGAGCCGAGGAATCATTTTCACCTTGACGTGCTGTGAAGTCTGGTCATTTTCTGAGATTTCAGCATCCTGTTCGAGGACCTGATGGGCATAGAAGCTGCACCCGCCCGTCCAGAAGGCTCGATCCAATCGGCACCCCCAAACGCTCTACGATGGACGGATGAACATGATCCAGAGAACCCGTAAGTGAAGCGAGCCGGCTCCGACCCCTGACGAATTCTTATTGGTATGCTAGATTCAACTGGCCAGCGACGACGCGATGGAGAGTGGTAGGTCTGGCATGTTACGTGTAGGTCTTGACAACAAGCTGCGTCGAGGTATCGTCGAACTGATAAACTGTTAGAACTTTTATTGTCGGATGGAATGCCACTACCATCTCGGGCGCAGCGCTGGAAATAGGCGAATACTTCGGCGTCAGTGACGAGCACTTCCCCAACTCATTCTGGCCCGTTACGTCTTGGGCAACCGGCGCTGCTATTGCCCCCATGATTGTGCTGCCCATAATGGAAGATTTTGGCGTTCGTCCAGGTTACCTGGTGAGTGTCCTTTGCATGGATTCCAGGGCAATGACCGGTACTCTATACTGACAGGTATCGGGAGGTTAGATCTCTTATTTCACGTTTTCAATCTTCGTCATCCCACAAGCTGTGGCCAAGAATTTCGCGACACTGATCGCCACTCGCTTCTTCGCTGGCTGTTGCGCTGGAATCCTACAAGATGGAACCGACGGCATTGTCGCAGACTTGTTCCCCAATCCTGTGAAGCGAAGCCTACCGATCAGCTGTTACGTGTTTTCCCTGCTCGCAGGTGTTACAATCGGTCCAGTCATTGGCGGTGCTATCAACGCACACTTGAATTGGCGATGGTACGAGACTATCCGGTAACACGAAGGGTGAAATCTCCTGCTGACCCCCAGCTCAGGATATTCTACAGCCAACTGTGCATCTACTTTGGCTCACTCCCGTTTGTTTTCTTCCTCATGAAAGAAACTCGGGGTCCTGTCATCCTGTTGAAGCGGGTCAAAAATGCACCTAATCAAGAACCATCCAATATCTCTGAGCTGGAAAAACAACAGCATCACGACAATATCCTGCAGTTCGTGAAGGACAACGTTGTACGGCCCGCCTATATGCTCGTCACGGAGCCGGTTGTCTTCTTCTTCACCCTCCTGACCGCACTATCCTACGGTATTGTCTTCGTCTCGTCGCAGAGCGTGGCCCAAGTCTTCATGACGCTGTATGGCTGGCCGGAGCACCAAACCGCCTACATGCAGTCGGCGGTCGTGGTCGGCGAATTCTTCGGCCTCCTCATATGCCTCTACCAGAACCACCTGTTCGAGAAGGCGTTCCGACCCGAAAGTCGCACACCCAAGTCTCGACTACCAGAAGTCCGCCTGTACATGAGCATTCCCGGTTCTTTCATCGGACTGAGTGGCGGACTCTTCTGGTACGGCTGGACAAGCTACAGCTCGTTGCATTGGATCCTGCCTGCCATCGGCCTGACCCTCACCGGCATCGGCAGCATGGTGGTCATGCAGGCTGTCATGATGTATCTGACAGATGCTTATGCGAAATATGCTGCGAGTGCAAGCGCCGCCGCCTGCGCGGGGGAAAACGTCTTTGCCGCATTCTTGCCTCTGGCGGCTCAGGCAATGTACACCAACCTCGGTTTTCACTGGGCGAGCAGTGTTCTGGCCTTTATTGCACTCGCCTTGAGCTTCGCGCCTATAGTGCTCATTTTCTACGGCGAGACCATCAGGAAATGGAGCCCATTCATGTCTCAAGCCACGTATGAATGAGTAGCCGGTAGAACTGATGGGAGTCTGGTGAGAAGCTGCTACTTTAGATGTAAATAGCCCAGCAGAGCAAGTTCCGGAGTCGCTCCCGAGTTTTCAACCGTGGCTATAGAGCTAGATGTGTGCCTCGTATATTACCGAGTTGCCAGAACTGTGGAACCTCGGGTGCAAGGGTCGAATCCCCCCTGCGCTGGAAGATCGATTGGCCAACACCAAGATAAGCTTATCGAGCGAGTTTCGGGAGGGGCAGCACCAAAGACGGTGAGATGTCGGAGGTTTGCACCATCTTCTATGTTCCTGTAATTTGATATTCCGACGCTCGACGACATATTCTTGCGTGAAGCCGTGGCCACCAGTCGGACAACATGGCCTGCATGGGTAGTGCTGCCGGCGATCGACCCTCTTGCTCAACCTCCGAGGTTCAAACTCACCGTGTTTCTGATTCTGCCCCGAACCCTCCCATCGGCGGTTGTTGCGTCGACTGTGGCAGTGGTCGAACTGCATGTGACGGTAGGTGCTTTCTTCGTTTGTTTCCTGGCTCACTTTAACAGACATACACAGATGGTTGCATCCGTAAGATCGCTGCAATCGAGTGTCGTGCCACTTGCGGAAACCAACGCGAAAACATTGCTCCCCTTGACCTTGATGAGTGTCCCGAAAAATGCTGCCGGGATGCTGGGAGCAGCGCCACTGTCAACAAGAAACCTATACCCGAGTCTACCTCACGCAACCCAGAAGACGCTTGTCACAGCCGCCGCACGAACATTCAAGGACCTAGCGATATCACTGCCAAGAAGAAAGAGCCGTGTGGTAGCACAGGGAGCATTACAGCGTGTGGTGGTGGTAAGCCTAACCGCGGCGCTCCTTGCTCTGGTGGGAGAAAGACAAAGTCTATAAACACAAGGGACGGTGAGAGCTGTGGAAGTGGCTGCCAGATCGACACGGCTCCTGAGAAAGACACATGCTGTGCCAATAAGCCGGGACTTCACAGCTCTGCTCAAGAAGACGACAGCTGCTGTGCTTCGAAACCAGCCACCGGCTGTTCTGAGAAGAAAGACTCTTGCTGCGCTAAGGAAGCAGACGCCTGTTGCGCCGAGAAGGAGGACACCTACTATACCGAGAAGCAAGATGCTTGCTGTGCCAAGAAGGAAGACACCTGCTGTGCTAAGGAAGCAGACTCCAGCTGTGCCCAGGAAGATACCTGCTGCGCTAAGAAAGAAGACACCTGCTATGCCGAGAAGGAAGACGCCTGTTGTGCTTATGAAGAGGACACCTGCTGTACTGGCAAAAAGCGCCCTCTGATTTCTCAGGCGCCAATTGATGGTTGCAAGCAGGGCTCCTCATGTTGTGATATCAGCACTTCAAGCAAAGCGAAGGACCTCTCGCCAGCTGCTTGTGAAGGAAAGCGGCAGCAGACGGCAGTCGATACTTGCATTCACCATCTTCAAAAAGCATTTGCTGAATATTCCAGTTATATCGAGAAAGGCCGGTGTATTTGCCGCAGTGTTCTCGATCGCCTCGACACCTGCTGCGGAGAAGTTGTTCCTAAGAAGCCCATCACTGAAGACCAGACATCCTCGTTCGGAAAGTCAACTGCACTTGCAAGCACCCAACAGCTTCCTGTTCGCCGTCAAGCGTCACGGGCATGCGGGAAAAGTTGTTGCGATAACACGGCTCCTCGCAACAAGGCCGAGCTGCAGTCCTGTTCGCTCGACAAGGTCGAGATATCAAGTGATTGGTCTAGAAAATCGATAAATGTCAGAACGAAGGAGGTTGATATCGAAGATGCTGCTGCTCGCGAACATGTTCTTCTCAGTGTTGCTGGCATGACGTGCACAGGCTGCAGCAGAAAGGTGTCCAACGTTCTCAAGAACATAGATGGCCTATCCTCGATCAAAGTTACCTTTGTGACTGCTTTAGTTGAATTTGATCTCAACACGTCGATCACAAACTTGGAACAATTGATTCCACGCATGGAGAAAGAGACCGGGTTCAAGTTTTCCAGGATCATAAGCAACTTCCAGTCATTGGACTTGAGAATCGATCGCACTACTGCTACACATGCCAAAGAGGATCTTGAAGCCCTGTCCGAATCCGTTGAACAGCTCGACAAGTTTACTTTTCGTGTCAACTACGATCCGACAATCATTGGTGCACGAACACTCCTGTCGTCTATCAGGGGAGCAAGTCTTGTTCCACCACAGAATGACGCCAAAACAGCTGATGGCAGGCGGCGTCTTGTGAAGATGACTTGGTTCACGGCACTGGCTGCGGTATTGACGATTCCTGTTGTCGTATTGGCATGGGCCCACACTCCTGTGCCCTATACAACCCGATCAATCATCTCACTGGTTCTTGCCTCACTCGTTCAGGGTCTCGCAGTCCCCGAATTTTACGCAGGGGCAATGAAATCGCTCATATACAGTCGAGTCCTCGAGATGGATATGCTGATCGTCATCAGTATAACCGCTGCCTACGCCTATTCGGTGGTGGCCTTCTCCCTCACACACGCCGGATTCACCTTGGAAATTGGCGAGTTTTTCGAAACCAGCTCTCTGCTCATCACTTTTGTTCTTCTTGGGAGGCTGGTGGCCGCCATGGCAAAAGTAAAGGCTGTCTCTGCTGTTTCTCTGCGTTCACTGCAGGCGGAAAAGGCGCTGCTCGTTGAATCTCTAGAAGAAACTATTGAAATTGACTCAAGACTGTTGCAGCTCGGTGACGACTTTGTGGTACCTGCCCATAGCCGTATCGTGACAGACGGTTATGTGATCCACGGGCAATCTTCTGTCGATGAGTCTATGATCACGGGCGAGAGCGTCCCAATACCAAAAGCAAGCGGTGATAAGGTCATAGCAGGTACTGTCAACGGCCCTAGTCCGCTTACCATCCGCTTGACGCGTCTGCCCGGCAAGAATAGCATCACAGATATCGTCAACTTGGTTGAAAACGCTCTGGCGAGCAAGCCTCGCATCCAGGATCTTGCTGACAAGGTGGCAGGATACTTCATCCCAGTTGTCATCTCGATCGCTCTTGTTACTTTTGCGATTTGGATGGCGATAGCTGTGAAGCTTCGTGGGAAAGACACAGGCGGAGCCCTCGGTCTTGCCATCACTTATGGGATTGCCGTGCTGGCCGTCTCATGTCCTTGTGCTTTGGGCCTTGCTGTCCCCATGGTTCTGGTCATCGCTGGGGGTGTCGCTGCTAGGAGTGGAGTTATTATCAAACAAGCCAATGCCATCGAAAAAAGTTACAAGGTCACCGACGTTGTGTTTGATAAAACCGGTACTCTCACCGAGGGGGATCTCGCCGTTATCCACGAGCAGGTTTTTCCGAATCCAGATGCAACTCAAGATGAGGTATTCGCAGTGACCAAAGCACTAACCAAGGACATTCAGCATCCAGTGTCTTTGGCGGTTGTCAACCACATAAAGGGAACGAGCACCACCCCGACCGACATCGAACAAGTCGAATCCATTCCTGGCTCGGGGATTCGTGCAAGATGGAAGGACTCCCTTGTCCAAGCTGGTAACCCGTATTGGTTGAATATTGAGGATCGGCCGGAAATTGCAGCGCTCGTCGACAGAGGCATGACCCTCTTTTGTGTGACTCTGGACAACAAAGTCTTGGCTGCCTTTGGTCTGAGAAGCAGCCTCCGGGACGAAGCTTATGCCGTCATTGCAAATCTCCATCGTCGTAACATCAAATGTCATATTGTCAGTGGCGACAACCCAAAAATGGTCGAGGACGTTGCGAGCACTCTGGGGATCCCGCTATCCAACACGGCAGCTCGCCGTTCTCCTGGCGACAAACAGGAATATGTTAAAGCATTGATGTCTTCCGGTAGGATCGTGCTCTTCTGTGGTGACGGAACGAATGATGCGGTTGCTGTTGCGCAAGCCGATGTGGGTGTCCAGATTGGCACTACTTCAGATGTCACCAGAGCCACAGCCGACGTGGTCTTGTTCAATGGCCTGGAGGGTGTGACCGCATTACTCGACACCTCCAGACGATGCTTCCACCGAATCATGTTCAACTTTTTCTGGTCCGCGCTCTACAATCTTTTCGCTATCTTGCTCGCAGGAGGGGCGTTTGTCCGCGTCCGCATCCCGCCCGCCTACGCTGGACTCGGGGAAATTGTAAGTGTGTTTCCGGTCATCGCTGTTGCGCTGTCGCTGTTGTGGACGAGGTAGGTGGACGAGGTAGATGGCCGGAAGTGAAGGTTCTCTCCGGCTGGGGGTGTGTGAGGAAAGACGGGGTCGAGAAGAGAAGACAGTTGAACTGGCCTGGTAGTCAGGACCAGGGACGAGTCAACTTATTCCAGAATGAGGACATTGATGGTTTTCTAGAGCCATGGATGCGCGCGTGGACCACTCTCATTAAAATTTTCCACTCCAATATATCTATTCTACACTCAAGCCAGATCCAAAGTTGTTTCCCCGGCCACATGCCGCCGGTGATGATGTGCCACACTCCCTCCGCGTAGTGCCGTTGTGTACTAGGTACGAGGTATACATAATGCAATTCGTTGATGACGTTGCTGACGGACATGGCCGTCGACTTACTGTACTTGGAGGCATGTATGCATTGCCTGTCAGCCTGTCGGTGTTAGATGCCGAGTACAAACGCCTCGGGGTTGGTAATTTGAGGTTTCACTCAAAGATCAGCCCGCTCTGCGTATCTGCGTCCCTGACCGTCTGGTCGCTCGTCTAGATTTCCTTGTGGCTCGATCGATCGACGCGCGACCCCCAAGCAAGTAACCAAGCAATGTCCTCCTCCTCGGCTGCTCCATCCCCATCTCTGCTCCGCGGTTCGGCGGTCCTGATCATCTGGGGCCGCGTGCATGGCTACGAGGATCCGGGAGTAGAACGCCTGCTGAACGACTGGTGGACATATGAGCATTTGCCGGAACGGCTGGCGTTGCCAGGCTTCCACCGCACCCGACGGTACTACTACAACAGCTCGTCGCCTGTGGAGGACGACGGTGGCGACCAAGTCATGACGCCGAGCCGCTCCTCAAATTACATGGTGCTGTATGAGGTGTCGTCGCTGGCGGCGCTCACGTCACCCGAGTACATGCACGCACTCAACAACCCGACGCCGGGCACGAGGAAGTACATGCGCGTGCTGTCAGGCATGAGCCGGTCGGCGTGTCGCGTGCTGGCGTCGACATCACGGCCTGAGTTCGCGTCCTGTAAGGTCGGCGGCGCGGGCGGGACACTTGGGCACATCGTCTTTGAAGCCCCTGCGGCGGCGGACACGCGCGCCGAGTTACAGGACTGGCTCTCGGGTGATGGCTGGCGGAGCCTCTGCGCAAAGCACTCCAGCCTGCTCGCCATGCACGTGCTCGAGCACGACGAAGCCGCCACCCGCTCGGGCAGCTCGACCAAGTCGTACGACGAAGTCGACTTCAAAGGGGGTCCCGAAAGCGCCGCGCTCAAGTGGATGGTGCTGCTCGAGTTCACGGACCCTCTTGGAAGCCTCTTTGCGTCCTATGGACCCCAGAGCGATGATATCAAGCAGGGTCTGAGGAAGCATGATGTTGATTTGTCCACGGTGACGCAAGAGCTGTTTGGATTGTTCGTCGTCATGGAGGAGTAAGGTGGCCCCAGCTTGTATTCGTCTAACTTCGGCGAGAGCATAGTCCGTGGAGTTTGAGGGTTCTGCATCAATATACTTGAAGTGAACGTTGGCACAGAACCGACACAAGAGAACGTAGTGAGACTCTTGCCCTCTAGAACGGGACTGTGCTGTCTGTTAGAACGAGGGCGTTGCCCTGTAAATGGTTCTGTCGCTGCTTAAAACCGTCGACGTGCACGATCGGCAAGATTTCTCGAGAGCCAACTGGGTCGATGTACTTTGCAGGAGTATCATTATGTATTCTCGTCCAGTCAGTTTAGGCTTGTCGAGTGTTATGAGCGGACGCGAGATACAGTCAGGGCTATTTGAGGGCGCTGGTCGGGGTTTTCTGAGGATCAGTCTCTCAACCCAGCATTGTGGAAAACGGGGTTTATGGTGTGCAGGTGTAAAAGAGGCTCGCTGGATGCAAACGGAACTGGGTGGTTTTGCAGGATACGGGTTTAGGAAGTTCCTGCACAGTCAGCCAGCAGGGGAGAAAGCTTCACGAGAGAAGCAAACATAGAGTTCACGTCGAGAACTTTGGCCCATACTCTCATCATCAGCTCAGCGGGAGGAAGAGAACAGTTTGCGCAGTCCTCCCCTCGATCACGCTGAAATTGACTGGGCGACGTCACTGAAAGGCAGCAAGAAAATTACAGAGAATTGCGGGTGCGAATCTGACTTGACATGGGGATCTAGACTACACCATCCGCCCATCTGTGCAATCACCCAGTGAAAGATAAGTGAGCAAAAACGCGCCCCCCAGAAATACCATGTGGTGTGATCTCATACAATTCCAATGCGTCTCCAGGATAAATAACAAGCTATGCCAATGCCCAATCTCGTCCCAACCGGCTTGAAATCCTCCGACCTGCTGCAAAAGATGGCCAACGTTATCCTCTCCATCAACGCCGGAAGCTCCTCGTTGAAGACGACGCTGTTTGTGGAGGAAGAGAGCGACGAGGGCAAGGTCAAGGGCCTTCGGCGCCTGGGGAGCGCGGAAATATCTTCCATCAATGCCCCTCCTGCGCGCCTAAAGTACCTGCGTGGCTCCTACAAAGACACCCGCGAACTCGGCGACATCAACGACCACAACCACGCCTTTGAGCATATCCTGAACGCCTTTCTGGCTGATGCTGAGATCCCAGAGGTCTCCAACAAGGATGACATCGACTACACGGCCCATCGAGTTGTCCAGGGAGGGAACTTTGAGGAAAAGTGCGCAGAGAGACACCCCACTACACCCATACCGAAGTCGCGATAGATTTGGACGCGTGGCTAACTGCTCTTCAGCCAGTTCATCACCAAGAAGACCTTGAATAAGATCAACAAGCTGTCAGATCTTGCTCCCCTGTATGTACTCGAGGATCCTGAGCCCTTGACCCTGGCGAACTGCTGATTGCCATTCAGGCACAATGCTTCCGCGGTCGGTCTCATGCTGGCCTGCCACGAACACCTCCCCAATGTCATCAATGTGGCATGTTTCGATTCCGGTTTCCACCAAACCATGCCTGACTACGTCAAGAGCTATGCCATTGATCAGAAGATTGCCAAGGAAAAGGGTCTGCGCAAATATGGGTTTCATGGTCTGAGCTACCAATACATCACAAGAACCACCGCCGCATTCCTGGGGAAGCCGGAATCCGAGACCAACATCATTGCACTGCATCTGGGGAGTGGTGCTTCCATGTGCGCAATACAGAATGGACGTTCAATAGACACGACCATGGGCTTGACACCCGTCTCAGGTTTACCCGGCGGCTCGCGGAGCGGTGACATCGACCCGAGTCTCGTCTTTCACTACACCTCCGATGCTAGTGCATTGAGCCCAAACAGCACAAAAGATCTCCATATTTCCACGGCTGAAGAGATTCTTAACAAGCAGTCAGGATGGAAGGCATTAACGGGGACGTCAGACTTTGCAAAGATTGCCGACCCGAATGCCCCGGACACCCACAAGCTCGCGTTTAACATCTTTACTGACCGGGTCGTCGGCTTCGTGGGCAACTACTTTGTGAAATTAGGTGGCAAAGTTGACGCCTTGGTCTTTGCCGGTGGCATTGGCGAAAAGAGCCCGTACTTGCGACAAGTCGTGATTGACAAAGTCTCATGCCTCGGCTTCACCATTGACGAAGAGAAGAACAAGAAAGGCCCGGACGGAAAGGACGTGGTGGATATCGGCACCAGTGAAACCATGCGCACGTTGGTCTGCGAAACGGACGAAGACGTGAGCATTTCCAGTTTTCCCACGGGCGATCTCTGGCTAACAGCATGACAGCATGAAATGGCGCATTCCGTCCTAGGAATGCTCTACAAGAAATAAAAAACAAGACGGACCCAGACGACCTGATGACGAACCCGCGCACGACAATAGACTTTATAATTTGATATACAAATTAGACCGGCCCGTTGCAACGTACCAGCCTTGTTTTTGCCACGCCAATCTTCTGCTTCGGCTCTCTTCTGCCGGTGTTTTGCCATTAGTCACTTCAACTTGCCTTTTCTACCTACCGAATGAGAAAGCCACCAGATGCTTGATTGGCCTTTGCACGCCGAGCCTCAGGACTCGGAAATCCCTTTTAGGGACGATACATGCGGGTGCCATGTGCACATGCCCAATTTGTCATTAGATCCAACCGCCATTGGAGTGACCGGACGCTTTCTAACGGCTGCCGAGTGAGTAAGAAGGTTTGATACTGCGCCCAGCCTTTACGACAAATCCTTGGGATTGGACACCTTGCCCAACTAAGGCATCTCGGCCTTGATGCACAATGGCTCGATTGCGGAGAGCTTCTAAGCCATTGTAACACCAACCCTGAGAGGCTGGCACTCGTCAATCGTGCATGGAACAGCATCCATCGGCCCTCAGTGATTAGTAGTGCTCGCTCGCTGAAATGCACAGAACGATGACGACGATAGAGCAATACACCGGAGGATCTGGCGCAGGAGTTTCTCCTCTGCGAAGGAATGCATTGCCAACTTTCAAACTATATAAAGTCATGGTTCTGCCGATTACGAGGTGAGTCTGCCAGGAGTTGAGCATCGTGTTGTTCCATTTGCAATTCTCAAATACAAGGCTCTCACGGTATCACGCAATCATGCATTTCTCTACATCTGTCTGGCTGTCGCTGCTGCTTCCAGCCCTGGAAGCCACCGCTCAACCTGTTGCTAAGCAGAATTATACATGCACAAGCTTCATGGTCAAGGTGCCGGTCAACAATGCCACTGTGGTGGTCCCTCCGATACCTGAATTCCCAGATCAATATGCTGCCACGGCATTTGCGAATCAAATCACCCTTCGCACGCCCTCTACTGCCGCACCGAACTTGACCACTCTCACAAAGACATTCAACATCAGTGCAGAATACTGTGTTCCAGCCAAGCCAGGTCCAAAGGCATCAACCTTGCATCTTCTCACACACGGAATCGGATTCAATCGGAGCTACTGGGACTTCTATCTCCCCTCGAAGCCCAATGATGCTCAGTATTCCTACATCAACAGCGCCACAGGTGCGGGATACAGCACTCTCTCTTGGAACCGGCTGGGCATTGTGCCCTCGACCCTTGCCGACCCCTATACGGAGATTCAGAGTCTCGTTGAGCTTGCAGTGCTCGTCAGTCTCACCACGCTCGTCCGAGCAGGGAACATCTCTCAAGTGCCCGTTCCGGACAAAGTCGTCCATGTCGGCCACAGCTACGGCAGCGAGTTGAGCGCGTCGCTCGCCTCAGTCGCCCCCGACCTGACCGATGGTGTGGTGCTGACCGGCTACTCCGCCATTGGCAACTACTCGACCTTTTTTGTGGCCAACACGGCGCTGCACCTCGCCAGCACGAACCAACCCAAGCGATTCCCCCACAGCACTTACTCGAACGGATTCCTGACCTGGCCAGACAAATACGGCAACCAATACTCCTTCTTCCAGTACCCGTTCTTCGACCCCGCCGTGCTCGACCAGGCCGAAGCGACAAAGTTCCCCTTCACCTTTGGCGAGTTCCTCACCATGACGGCCCTGCCCCTCGCCGCCCCCAACTTTACGGGCCCAGTGCTCTATCTCGGCTCCGAGGCCGACTTGATCTTTTGCGCCTCAAACTGCACGGGCCTGTTTGGTCCCGACAGCGCCGCGGTGCAGTCGTTCAGCGGGAGCAGCAGCGTCGAGACGTACCTCCAGCCGGACGTGGGCCACGGGCTGAATCTGCACCACAATGCCACGGGCGCGTACAATGTCATTCTCGACTGGGCTGATAGACATGGATTTTGAGAGAGAGGAACGACCAGGGAATGACTGTACGTGGCGCCACCATGGGGGAAGCCATCCGAATAGTATATAATCAAGACGAGTACCAAAGGCGTAGTGGGGGCGGGGGGACAAGCAGTAATGTATGTATGTAGATGTAGATCGGGTTGGTAGCTGTCACTCTGACAACCTCAACCCAGCTTCTACCGCACCTCTCAGAGACGAGAACACTAGGTCCGTCAGCCACTTGAAATACTGGATTTGATTTTTGATTTTCCCCATCTCCCCTTTCCAGGCACCCAGGCACCCCAAGTCCTGAAACATGGTGAGGTCGACCAGCCGGGGTACGTGCGATGCAATAGACCAGTTTTACTGTACTGGCTTTTTCTTTTTCTTTTCTTCAGGATTGAGTTTTTGTAAAGTTACTCGTTTCTCATATTACATATTTCTTTATGCTGGAGACGAGACGGACACTCCTAATCTACCTGTGCTGTGCGTGCGCTCTGCTGTGGCCATTGCCAATGATATTATAATTTGTACCATGCTTGTCTAGACTTTGAGATTTGACGTTTTGTCCACTAGACAACAGACTGTCTGTGTCAGGCTCGTCGGCGGCGGTGTGGTTGATTCTGTTCTCCTTCCTTCTTACCGGGTGTCAAGCTGTCAGGCTGGCTGGGGAGCAACAGTCTAACCGACGAGAAATGTGGTTTCCGGACTTATCAATAACATGTATTGGAATCCTTTACCAAGTTCGGTCTGGAGTACAGGAGTACGAGAAAACCAGACGATGCAGCAGCAGCGATGGGTGACATCCATCGCTCGAAGAGCGAAAGGCGAGACACCACTACCTCGTTCAATGTCGACTGGCACGGCTCGGCTCAGTCAATTCGATTCCATGTTCGGCGCGCTGGACAATGTCTCTGAATTCCGCCATCTAGGTTTTTGGATGAGACGGCCGGTTTTGTTGTAGGTCGTCGTGGATGGTTGTGTAGTACGTCTGTCACCCATATATTACCATTGCCGTTCCATACCCAGAATCTTCCCCCCCTTTTTCTTCTTTCAAGATCTGTTATCTCAAAGTTACCAAACTAGCATCCAGATTTCACGTGTACATACCACAGTAGTGCCCACAGCCCTGTCACTTATTGACCCTTTGACCCGGGGCCTGCCAAAAACTGACCAAGTCCCGAGACAGGTTCATACCATTAGTCGCCATCATCACGCCCGGCACCATCTCCGTCGTGTCCGCGTCGACAAGCGAGCCCAAGACCATCACCGTCCCGCAGCGAGAATACGGCAAGACCTCGTACGGCGCCGCCGTGGCCGCGACGACCAACGACACCGTGTTTTACCGCGGTGCACGGTCCTATCTCAAGGGACCGACGCTCACGATGCTAACCGAGACAGAGATCTTGTCGGTATCAGTGGGTGGGGACGCATTTCCCACCAACTCGAACTTGACCTGGTCGATGGGTTCTTTGGACCGGCCATATCTTGCTCGGCCGCTGGTGTGGAAGTCACGACGCGGTTGACGGACTTGGTCCTCCCGTATCAGCAGCAAAAGCAAGTGTTGTTGAGGTACGACGCCTGGGTCCCGAGACCGGCGACGGCGACATCGCCCAACGAGACTCTTCTTGTCGACGGCATGCTCGTTGTCGATCCAGACGGGAACAGCAACCTCCGGATCCTGGACCAGATTTCGCCCGACGCAGCAAGGATCTATTACAGCATTGCCCCGGACGTGACGACACGGGCGACGATGACAGCCTCCATCCATGTCATCGAGTGTGCCCTGTACAACACGTCGTGGCACCTAGACTTCGATGTCCGCACCACCGGCGAGCAGGTTCTCAGGCCAACCCTGCAATTTGAGAACTGGATGCCCGGGCGGAGCAGCATCAAACCACCTTCTCGCGCAACGTGTACTCCTACGACAGCCGAGACCTTGTCGTTGCGTACACGCTTGCGATAGGCGGTAGCGCCATATGTATCCTCGTTGCCATGCTTGCCATCTCTAAAATGGACGCCGTGTATTCGAACACCTTCTCCACGGTCGACCGCGTCAGCCGGAATCAACCCCGTCTCGACACCGTGATTCGCGATGACCATAACGGCAGCGGAGCGCAGCCCTTGCCAAAAAGAGTCGCTGATACGCATATGTGGATCGGTCGCGAGGATATCGTGGGCCGGGGAATTGGGCGAGGCCGCGCGTCGCGACGGCGGACACGTGGGACTCTGAGACGGAGGAGAGCCGCTCGTGGTGGGAGAAACGACGGGCGATGGATCTGGAGAAGTCGGGCTCGACTACAGAGCCGTCCAGTGTCGTCAGAACGCTGCCAGGCGGCATCGTGGCTGACCCGAAGACGAGTGGCTCGCTCGGTAGTTGGATATAGCCTCAGCTTAGAAATGGCGATTAACCGTACCGCGACGGAACCCGTATAGAACGAGGTTGTAGCTAGCGACCGACCTCTGCTCCTGACAAGCTGGCTCGATGGAGTCAGCAAATCGACTCTTGGGCTTCTCACGATATCTCCTCTTGATCCCGTTGTGCCTAGGACGTCGCACGGTGAAAAGAAGGCACAAAAGCCCTCCAAATTCCATCAGTCCCAGTTCACAACCAGGTGATTCTCGTTTGTCTGACGTACTCCAACATTACAGACAACGTGGCGACTGAGAAGGCTGCCCAGCTCCTCCGATTCTGGGACAAAGCCCTCTGACGAGCTTGTCGCCGCGTCTCCGGCAGGCAAAACGCCTTCTTCGTCGTCATGCAGAGACCACCACCATTGGCTGCCACTCAGCATTCCGTCCTCGTCGTCAAATTCCTCCTCGGTCTGTTGCGTGGTTACGCCACTATCAATGTCCTCAACAGTCATCCGAGCGATCCAGCCCCATTTGCGCCAGAACCACCGCCTCACTTCCCAACTCCGCTTGTTCCAAGCCACGCCGTCTCGCATACTCCTTCCATAGTCTCTGTTGGCGCGCTCGCGTCCCCAGCAGACCAAGCCGTCGTGAATCAAGTCAAGGAAGAGGCTCATATGATCAAGTTTCCTGACACTCGAGAGGTAGATGGCCATACTCCGGAAGTGTGGGAAGGGGATGCAATCCAGGTACGATGGATGAGGAATGATGAGTTGGTGGGCCGTGGGTCGGAGATCAACTGGGATAGTGTGGATATTGGCGTTGGAACTGGTTGAGAACGGAGAAGGATGGTCGTTGATATAGGAGACGATTGAAATGCCTAGGCTTTGAGCTATCGACATTGTTGCTGCGAAACACGACTCTCCGACCAGCTGCAGATTGTTCTTATAGGGTGATGGGAGGGATGGCCGCGTTCGTGAGATGCTCCGAGACGCTGGAGAGGAAGAACGTGGCGCGACCTGAGGGGACCACTGGAATGGCGACGTCTGTCGCAAAGGAGACAATGAAGGAGACAGGTTACTCAGCGGGCTCGTCCCTGGAATGACACCCGGTGGAAGCGTATATGTCTTGGAGTCGATATCGTCAGGGATGGGCCATGAGTGTCGCATATCAAGAGCGTCCGGGATTGGCGGTACGTAGTAATACACAGCGACTCCCAATGGAAGAATCGGCTCTGGGAGAGGGGTCGTATTGCTTGCCGCCTCATGGATGTCTGGTTCTGTCAATATCTCGTCAGGAAGTGGCTCTCCCAAGGCAATAGACGATTCCCTGCCAGTCTCCAATGATTCCGTCAAAGGCTCCTGGCCCTCAACCGTGGACGGCTGCTGCGCATGATCCCTCGCCCGCTTTGCCAACTCCTGCGTGACCTTCTCTCGGGTCGCTTCATCTCGACGATGCTTCTGCTTTTCGCGCCAGACGCGCTGCGATCGTCGGTTTTGCTCTCTCCTTGCCTCAGTCAGTTTTCGCTTGTACCTCTCTGAGACCTTGGATTCCGGGCCGGCGGCAGCGGAGGATGAGCTCGACATATCCTTATGTTCAGCTATTTTGCGATTTCCTCACGATAAGCGTGAGACAGCGTTGGGCTCTCGAGATGCGCACAATGCTCGTAAGTCCCGCCTGGGGAGAAGTGGCTGGCTGCACTGGATGACAACAGGCATAGAGGATCGAGTCCTATGTTCAACCACAGACCTATTATGATGCAGAGGTTCACATGATTGATGGTGAGCAGCCAGTAGTCGTGGGTTTTCCTGACTCCAAGGCGGTAGTGAGAGAAGCCTATCATTCTCTGTCTCCGAGTACGAATAGGCAGGGTACAGGTAGGACGCACCGCCAAACAGAGCAGACTTCCGCCTGGGCCTTTGGCCTTGGTGGCCTAGTGAGCCCTAGTTAGGTAATAGTAGGCTACCACGCCACCAACGCTACCTAGCATGCTAGCATGCTTAGGTCAGATGGTGTCCGGCACCCGTACATCTCGTGCTTTACTCACATACACATCTCTACCCAGAGCCTCATTGCGAATTGCGTTACAACTTCAGTAACGACTACAAGTCCTCTCTTTGTCCATTCCACTCGCCATGTCGATCCTAAGCATCCAGCGAAACCCGGCTAGTTGACTTGACCGCACTTCTAACACTCTGCAGCGCTCTTCTTCTTCTCATGACGGCCACGACTGCTTCGAACCCGCTGCCGTCTAGTGTGCGTGCTGCACACATTCGACAACATTTATCGCGATACCCACTGGTGCCATGTCAGATGGCCCTCGTGAATCGCTGTCAACGTACACTAAAGAGCGTGTGAGATCAATATATCAGGACGGGCTGAGAAGGAAAAACAGCAACGCTATCGGTCAACCAAGAACCTTCGAGGCGCGTTCGATAGAACACGATGCAACAAGCGAGCTGTTTTACATCTTTTCGGCAGCTCAGCAAAAGGAACGATTACGAGAAATGGGCAGATCTTATTTCCGCGCCGTTCAGGAATCCCAGGATCATGTCGCTCGGCTAGATGACAAGATTGCATCCCTGATGTCTTGCTGCTACGATGGCGTCCTGGACGAGGACTATATGGTCTCGCAGACTTGCGCATTATTATCTCGCATTCCTGGCACTCCTCCTCTGCACCGGGCATTGAGTTCAATGTTTTCAGGCCACAAGTTTAATTGGGGTTACTTCGAAGGTGTCCACCACAGCCATGTTCTGTTGAATCAAGACACCTGGGAAAAGCTCCTCGTAACTAAATGGATTGACTCAAACACCGTGAGAATTGCTTTGACCATTGTCCAGATGCGTGATGGGACGAGTAGCAACCTGGTGAATCATTTTCGACAGTACCTCAACACCCTAGCAGAGATCTCAGAGGCGACGTTCACTTTGCTCTACCGCTGCAACGATGTCGTGGAACAGCAGTCCTGGTTGCTGGCTTCAAGTTTTCTCTGGACGTGCTGGTATCGTGGACTCATGCTTCATCTCCACAGTGCTCTCCATTTTCATTTGCGATTTGGCTACAACGTCGGGGCTTTGGACCGACTTGACATGAGGCAGCCGTTGCCGCAGATGGGTGTACTTTCGTCACCTTCAAAACCATCAGCATACTTGTGTCCCTGGGCGTTCGAGCTGTTACGATCCGATAGAGCATCTGTGAGTCAAGATTTCCGTCGTTTCCACCAGCGGTTTTCGACGCTCCACGGCCAAAAGCCAGCTCGGTGCTTAGGTGATCCATGCCGCCCTTGTAACGGACAAGGTCCGACACATTGTCAACGCTTTACGGGACTGAAGATCATTGACCAGTCTGCTCACGACGGATCCTGCGATGGTCAATGTCAGAGTTTATTTTGGGACGAGGCGAGCTACCGCAGCGTCGCCGGAGCCAGAGCAGTGTCAATTGTTGATACGAATGAAGAGTTTATTCGATACTGCCAGGCTTCTCGCAAGACGATAGCTGTGTCGCATGTGTGGGCTCATGGTGCGGGTGGTCGACCGCACACCGGCTTCAACGCCTGTCTACATCAGCGGCTCGTCCGAATTGCTCGAGAAAACGACTGCGACTCCTACTGGATGGACACGCCTTGTATACCGGAAGATCACCAACTTCGAGCCGAAGCGATCTCGCATATCAACAAAGTTTTCAACACAAGCAGCATCACGCTGGTGTGGGACCGGGATCTCATGTCGATCGACATATCTCGTCCGTCGATGGAGATCCAAGAGGCGATCCTATGCACTCTCCTGGTCTGTGACTGGACCTTGAGGTCTTGGACTCTGCTAGAGTCGATGCGTGCCCGCCACAACATTCATCTCTTGTGCAAAGACAACAAGACCGTCGCGCTGAGAGACTGTCTTCTCAATGTCCACCACGCCGGCGCCATCGACATTGCGACATTATTGCTCACCAGCCAACAACTTCTGCCCGCGATACAATACGACGGTGAAGAGCCCGATGACGAACTGCAGAGACAAATGAAGGGTTACGTCCCTGTCGAGGAAGCTCTGCACCTGCTGGCTCGTCGACACGCGTCTAGACCAGGAGACAGCGTCGTCATCTTGAGCCTGCTCATTGACGACAAGCCAGTGTACACTGCAGAGGCATTCTGGAAGTCAAAGATCGGCCAGTCCTTATACTCGGGCGTACTATTCTCATCCCAGCCCAGGCTCCGATGTAAGGGGTTTGGATGGGCACCTTCTCAGCCAGAATTACCCCTGGCTGTGTTGAGTGGTGATTCTCCACACTCTCAAGAGTACCTGTTTGACGGTTCACTGTCGTGGCCAGCGATAATCACCCGGGACGGTCTCGACGCGACGTTTGCCACGTTCGAGATACCTGAACTCGAGCAAGAGTCGTCGTCGTCTTCGTCTTCGTCCCCACTTCAGCACGTCCTCACCAATCTAGCCCAGAAGTTTCCCTGGCCGGGCTCCCGACGACGTCAGCTCAGTCAAATACAAATTCTACGCGACCACTTCCATCTGGAGAGGTATAAGCACTCGCTACTTCTCCTTCCCGTCGTTGCGAACTCGTCACGCAGTGCCCCGTTCAACGCGTACCGCGGCCGGTCGAATG